AAATACTGGTGGCATAGCTTCCAGCATCACAGCAACACGCAAGCCACTCCAGTGTGACAAACTGTCAGACGAGTGGTGGTCTGTAAAGATTACAGACTTGGAACCTCTACAGGCAGTTCTGCTCTGTCCTATAGGGTTGCTATGAGTTGGAATCGACTTGATGGCAATGGGTGTGTATGTGCGCATATGTGTGTCCATTATATATATCTATCTTCAAAGGCAGTACTAAATGCTAAAACTTTAAAAACATTCTCTTTAAAATATGAACAAATCAAGGATGTCCACCTTTAGCACTGTTATTTAATATTGTTGTAGATGTATTAGCTAATGCACTCGCATGAGAAAAATAGTCTGTAATGCTAAGGAGGATTAAAAAATACATACATAACATATATACCTGGAATATACCTGGAAAACACAAGAGTGAACTAAAAATAGTATGAGGAACAATGAATGCATTTAATATGGAGGTTGGTTACAAAAATATGATAACCAGTAGCATTACTATATATATAAACAAAAACCTGTTAGAAAATAACTAGAACTTATAGTAGCAACTCGAATGTTCCAAATGCCTAGACATAAATTTACAAGGATTCTGCATGACCCACATGGGAATGAAAGAGACTTGAAAAATGGAAGCATGCTGTGGTTTTGGATTGGATGACTGAATATTGTCAAAATGCCAGTTTTCTACCACCAGTGACCGCCCTGACAGGGAACACAACAGAGAGTCCCTGACGGAGCAGGAAAAAAGTGTGGTGCAGAACTCAAATTCTGATGAAAAAGACCAGACTTAATGATCTGGCTGAGACTGGAGGGACCCCGAAAGACATGACCTCCGGACTCTCTGTTAGCCCAAAACTGAAACCATTCCCAAAGCCGACTCTTCAGACAAAGATTAGACTGGACTATAAAACTTAAAATGATGCTCATGAAGAGGGTGCTTCTTAGCTTAAGTAGATACATGAGACTAAATGGGCAGCCCCTGTCCAGAGGCGAGATGAGAAGGCAAAAAGGAACCGGAGCTGGTTGAATGGACACGGGAAAACCTGGTGGAAAGGAGAATGTGCTGTCACGGTATAGGGAACGCAACTAGGGTCACATAACAATGTGTATAAATTTTTGTATGAGAAACTAACTTGAACTGTAAATTTTCACTTAAAGCACAATTTAAAAAAAAAAAACAGTTTTCTTTAGATTAACTATTCAGTAAAATAATAATTAAAAAAATTTTTTTAACCAGGTTTTATTCTAAAGTTTAAACAAAGATGAAATGTAAGAATAGTCAGGAAACTTTCTGAGAAAAGAATAAGGTGGGTAGGGGACAGATATAACGGTTAATCAACATGAGATAATAAAGTTGGTACCACAGTGAACTGATCTAATGCTTTCTGAAAGCAAAGATGTTTTCATGACCATATGATGGAAAAGGAGTAAATTTCTATTAGTTTTAACATACCGAATCATCATGGATAACTCATGTATCTCCATGACTGTTTTCTTGAATCCCGACACGTGTTCATTGAGGTTGACTGGCACAGTGGCTGCAGCAATGAACTCAAGCATAGCAAAGATTGTGAGGATGGCGCAGGACCGGGCAGTGTTTTGTTCTGTTGTACATAGGGTCTGTATGAGTCAGAACCAACTCAACAGCACTGAACAACAATAGCTGTATTTACCTGTGGAGACGATGACTCTGTTTACTTTCTTTAGATTCTAGACATAGGATGCCTCTGGTATAATTGATATAAAATATTGTTGTTTTATTTTTACTTTAGTTTTAGGAATTTAGCTGTAATCCATCCACATTCGGTGTGAACTCCCCAGTAAGTTACTTATCACAGTGGCCCTTTGCTGACTGACTATTTAACTTGAGTATGATGTGCTCTCTAATTGTACTGTCCTTCCCTATTTTTTCTGGCACACTGGTCAGTGTGTAATTTTCAAACTGTTTTTCTTAGAACAAGGTTGCAGAGGTGCTTTAGGAATTTTTTAAAACTTGTTTTAATTTCATTTTACAAATGAATCTTAAACTATTTAAAATCCTGTGATTAAAAAATGACAGATGTGCACATTCAAACTTAAAACACTAAAGACAACTGACAGGTTGCCAGGATAGCTCATTCTTGATAAAACTCAGAATAAAGCTTTTCCTGCTTTATTCATGTATTTGAGCTTCTTAAATATGTGTCATAATTAGGAAGGTTATGACTCCGGGCTGGTGACTTTTAAAAATTTGCAGCTAAGAATTTGCACTAAAAATCCTTATTGAAAGTTGGCAAAGCCATGACTTCTGTTTGTCTATATCTTCTGATATATAAAACAGGTACAAACTAGCACATTTTTCAGTTATCTCACAGTAAAGATTACTTTGATTAATCTAGTCTACAGTCTTTTGAAATTCTTACTGCACATTATTAACTGCACAACAATATAGTATGTGTGGATGTTTGAAAATGGATCTTTTTCCATTTGGTGATATATTAACAGATACATATAGGAAAGAGATGGAGACTGGCCAGCACGTAACATTTGCTAATTAAAAAATATTATTGATAGGCATCTAAAAATTTCCTTCACACTTGCTGAAAAATCATTAATTATAAAATACTGTTCTCCATTTTTGACTCCAGAAGGCAGAGTAGCATTATATTGGAAGTATCATAGAGGCAAGAAGTGGTTGTTGGTGGTGGTGGTGTGAGCCGTTGAGTTGATTCCGACTCATAACGACGCCATATGACAGACAAGAACTGCCCCATAGGGTTTCCTAGGCTGTAATCTTTACGGGAGCAGAATCACTAGGTCTTTTCTCCCACAGAGTCGCTGGTGGGTTTGAACCACCGACCTTTCGATTAGCAGCCAAGCACTTCATGTTACGAGGCATCATAGATTCCAGAAGTGGTTAGGATGCAGGGAACTAGCATTACAGCTCTCCTGTGGATACCTGTGGGGCTTTTGGGGAAGGCATCTAATTCCTCAGAGCTGCACTTTACTGACCCACTTCCTTCTCAAGATTATTTTGAAAAGTTAGCTTAACTGAAGTTGATTTTAAAAGTATTAAGTGTCATGTTTTATAAGCTGTTACAATTTCTGAACTATTTGTTTAGCTCTAATTAGTTAATGTTTTTCCTTCTTCCCCATTCCATCCATGTTTTTATATTCTTTTTTTCCCCCCAAATATTCTTTCCTTAGGGTATTACACTGGAAGAGTTTGACAGATTATCTTTCAATATGATTTTAATGAGCCCTCCATGTCAGCCATTCACAAGGTACGTATAATAAATATTTCTCTGCTGAAAAAGAATATTTTTGAAGGACTCATTAAATCAAATCATACCATAGTGTCAGGCATGGACACTTCGATATCCATCAGCTACATTTTCATAGTTTTGAAATTTTTTATAAATAATTCCTTTCATCTACTTATGTTTATAATTCAGTATTAATCATAAAGGAAATAGCAGTTGCTGTTAAATGAGCAAATTAAATCAGTCAGTAGTAGATACGCAGCAACTATATGGAATCTCTTTTATACCTACCTAAGATACAATTTTTATTTCTGGTCCAAATTACCTTAAATTATTTAAATTAATGGATACTCAGGCATATCTTTCTAACACTGATTTATCAAAGTAAATTTCCATAATAAAGCTATTCAAGTCCTAAATTACTTAAATATAAAATTTAGAAACTAGTCAAGCTTGCATGTGATTTTTATATTTCTTAAAATTCATAAGTACATTTAATAATTCTAGCTTTTCTTAGTTATAGTTTTTAAAAATTATATAGTATTTGACTATGTTTCAGGGAATTATATCTTAGATGAAAATCTTGACTAATTCATCTTCATTTAGGTATTTTTTAATGATTTCATTATTTTAATAAGAATCCTCTGTATGTCTTACATGAGTATGCCATTTAATTTAACAAGCCTATGTTGGCAGCCATTTCTATTATCATCATTTTATAGGTGAGAATCTAAGGCATAGAAGGTTTGTTAATAACTTTCTCAAAGCCATACAGTTAGAAAATGTCACATCCAGGATTTATCAATCAATTTAAGTATTCCAAGTGCTATGGCTGCAAACCAAAGAGTCGGCAGTTCAAATCCACCAGGCGCTCCTTGGAAACTCTGTGGGGCAGTTCTACTCTGTCCTGTAGGGTCTCTGTGAGTCGGAATCAACTCAGTGACAATGGGTTTATTCTAATATATAATATGATTTTGAGTGGGATATCATATGTAATAAATATTGTAATTCAGAAGAAGATTCTTATGCTTAATTTCCGTCTGTTTTGATTTATTTAAACAGCTCTTTAGGAGATTAATTCCCCAGTGATTTATTGTGCACCTATATGCTAGGCATTGTTTTTGATGCTATTGTTCTTATCTCTGAGGAGTTCTTAGTCTAATGGAAATGACTGATAAATAATTATTTTGTAATGTGATGTAAGCTATATAATAAAAGAATACTGAAAGTGCCATGAGAGTACAGAGAGGAAAATGACTTACTGCATGCTTCCTACAAGTGTCATTGTGTATTTCCCTGGGAGAGAGGAATCCGTTTGGAAATTCCTCACTGAGGAGATATCTGAGCTGAGTCTGAAGGCAGAGTAGAAGTTTATGACAAAAGGCAAAGGACGTTCCAGGTAAAGATGGATCCAAGCATATGTAAGAGTATGGCTTGTTTAGGTACAATAAATAGGATGTACAGAACAGAATGCAGCCCTGGCCTGTGAAGCCTCATGTATTACTGCAGTGGGCCTCTTCTATCCTCCTTACTACCATCCCACCCTGTTTTAACCTAACTCTGACTGCTGATAGCAGCAGTAACTTTGACTCTGTAGTCACCATCATTTGGAACTCTGAGAGAAAAGAGACAGAATGAGAAGAACCCAAGATTTCTGAGGAATCTGTTTAAGTCCGGTTTAATCTTCCAGCTGAACCTTGGGTCTGCTGATGGTTTTGGCTCTGCTGTCAGGTCTGAAGAAAACTGACAGATGATGTCAAGTAACTTATTTACGATTATGAAGCTAATAAGTAGCAAGGGGTTAAACCCTGGTTCTCTGTTTCTGCTGACTCAGACCCAATCCAAGTCTTCCTTTCTGCTTAATTCTTGATCCTATTGTGACTCTTACCTGTAGGATCAAATTGCTAGCCTATTTAGATGACCTGTCTTGACCCTAGTTTGTCAAACCAAGTTGCAATTCCTGCTTGTAGAATCAAACCTCCAGCTTAAGTCTCACCTGTTTACATTGGACAAGATTTTCTTAGTCTTAGCTACTGCTTCGATCTGCTTATGGTAATTAGTCACCAGTGCCATCAGCTCCAAATCACCACCCTACCCAACCAGCTCATTCATCTGAGCTCTTGTTGTGTCTCACCTGGAGCAGAGCAAAAGGTGTCAACAATCGTGTGTATATATGTGTCTTTCCTAAGTGCAGTAATTTTAAGAGGGTAATTAATTTTATTCTTCACCGACTTCCTTGCTTCACAAGTCATTTAGCATATTGCTTTGTAAAATAAATTTTAAGTGTTTACTCATTTGATATGCAAGCTTTTCTCTCTTTATTGTTAAATAAATCAATATGTTTGTTTTCTGTAGGAACAAAGATAATCATCTTTTTGTGAGGACCAAATTATTTTAATTCTCTTGGTTTTGATTATTTAAAAATGATTTGATGTCTTTATATAAGATTCTTGATAAACTTATATGTGCATTCTTTACCCCTTTAGAATTGGCCTGCAGGGTGATAAGACTGATCCAAGGACGAGTAGCTTCTTATATATTCTAGATATCCTTCCAAGGTAAAAATGTAGATTCTTGTTCAAGCTTACCTTAAATTTAAAACTTTGGATCTGGAAGAATGTGATGTTTATCTTTTTGTAGAGATTAGCAGTTTATACGCGTTCCATTCAGATATCGTGTATGTCATTTATCTTCCACTGCCGTGACTAACAAAATAACTGCAAATGTCTCATGATTCCACTATTGCCAGCACAGCAAGTGACAGGGCCTAATAGCTATTGCTTTTGCTAATGTATTATGTGAATGATGCTAATATTAATGCGTGCTGTTGCCCTGCTCTAGAAACTTGTGCTAACCTAAGGACCTTCATCCTATGTGAATGGCATCCCTTTGTGCTATGCAGAGGCTCTGTGTGAACTCATGTTTTGAGATAAGCTTCAGTGGAAATGAACACATCAAGTGTTAGCTTTATTAGGTATGCAGTGCATATGGGAAAAATGACTAAAATATGAGCTGTCTCCATCCCTTATAAAATTCCTTTATAAAAAGAAAGAATTCAGATATTTCCTTACCTCATGTTTTCCACAAGTAATGAGATTGTGGAATTCCATTTGTCTTTTGTTTGTTTGTTTTAGATTACAAAAATTACCGAAGTATATTCTTTTAGAAAATGTCAAAGGTTTTGAAGTATCTTCAACAAGGTAAAAGTGTATCTGTCTTATCTACATCTTAGACGTGGACTGTTTTATAGTAGGAACTGTTGTGAAATAAAAATCTTAGAAATAAACACATTAATTCTGACATCTTATAGGTTATATATTTTATTCCTTAATACTAATTTTGGCTAATTAATAATGTAAAGTAATACAAAGTTTGGTTCAACTGATTCTCTCCCATTTCGATATGTTTGAATTTTTTCAGAATGAGCACTAGTTTAAGTGAGAATTGTATTTTTCCATTCTAGTGCTTTTATTGGTGCCAAGGAGCCCTGGTGGCACAGTAGTTTAGCTGGGTAGTAACCGAAAGGTTGGCAGTTCAAATCCACCAGCTGCTTCATGGGAGTAAGATGAGGCAGTCTGCTCCCATAAAGATTTACAGCCTCGGAAAACCTATGGGGCAGTACTATTCTGTCCTATAAGGTCGATATGAGTCAGAATCGACTTGACATCAATGAGTTAATGGGTTATTGGTGCCTATTTCTTTAGAAGTAGGAATGTTTTCAATAAGGATTGGTCTTGTTGAGAGGCATTTTCTGGAATTCAGTGGAAGGAGCAAGCCCTGTGTCGGGGCCCTTTCAGATGGTATCCCAGCTGAAGAGAAACCTTCCATCTACTTTAACTAATCTGCTCTCAGTAACAGTGCTCCCATCTGATTTGCTGCCTTGAAGATATAGTTCAATTTCCCACAGCAAATTTATCATCAGTAGGATTAGGGGTTCTAACCTCCATCATTTTCAATAAATGATCTGGCAGCTTTATTTATTTGTGTTAGGGAATTATCTTTATTAAATGCCATTTTTCAAGCGCTGAAGTTAATAAAGATTCAGTGTCATTTTTTCCTAAACAACCTGAGTGGAAGTACAGTTTTCACTTAAAATGAAGTTTTAGGTGTAATATTTTATATATAGTAACCCTGTTTCCAACTGTAGGATGAAACCTTTTCTTTTTTCTTTCCTTTTTTTTTTCTCTCTAGAGACCTGTTGATACAAACAATAGAAAACTGCGGCTTTCAGTACCAAGAATTTCTATTATCTCCAACCTCTGTAGGTACCACAAATATATATGTAATATATATATATTTAAAGACTTTTTCCCCCAAAGGGAATTTGACTCAATACACAGAATGGATCTATTTTGGATAATATTCTAGGTAAATTCTGAAATTAGTTCAGACATAGGTCTTACTTTCTAAAGAATGTAGTATATGTCTATAGATTCTTTTATGCATATTTTATAAAATGATTATATAACTTGAAGCTAATAGAGTATATATTTTTCTTTCCACATGAAAAATAAAGGATAGTGTTTTTTTTTAAATATGTAGTTTGATATTTCCAAAATAGGTATGCTATAGTTTAATAGTGCTTCAGAATAATCCAAAATAGAAAACAGAATGAGTATATGACAATTTTCTAATTAATTTTTTATGACATAATATTAAAATGTAAACATTACTGCATCTCATGGGTATAACTGAAGTAATTGGTTATGTTAAGATATTTGGCACATCTTTGATTCTGCAAGTGTCACTGTCTGTTTTTTCTTTTGTGATTACTCTTGTTAATTTCTTATCACTTTAGCCATATTATACAGTCCTTTACCCTGAAACTAAAAGAAAATCCATATCATAAATTAGATATACAAGCTATGGAAATTGGTAATATATCTGATCTCTTTAAATTTATTTCATATTTGTTGCCTTTTAAATTCTGAAATTTATTGAATCCTTTTTTTATGTATATAAAATGAGGTAATAAAAAGCCAAGAATAGCTATAGTTGAATTTCATTTCTTATGATTGCTATATTATCAGTGGAGCCCTGGTGTCACAGTGGTTAAAGCGCTCAGCTGCTAACTGAAATGTCAGCAGTTTGAACCCACCAGCTGCTCCACGGGAGAAAGATGTGACAGCCTGCTTCCGTAAAGATTACAGCCTTGGAAACCCTATGGCGTAGTTCTGCTTTGTCCTATAGGGTCACTATGAATTGGAATCAACTCAGTGGCTGTGGGTTTGGTTTTTTGGTTTATATTTTCAATAATGGGTGTAAAAATGTCCATAAAACTTCTTACCTGGGAAGTAGAAAATGAAAGTGACTGAGACATATGATTCATCAGATTCAATCCTTATCTCATTCAAATAAAGGTACAGAGCAACAGTTAAAAGGATTAAGAATTTTCTACAAAGAATTCTTCCACAAATCAGTAGCAGAGTTTGCTTTGGAAGAAGCTAAATGTATATACCTCTATGAGTTGTTTCCCAAGTGGCTAATAATTGGTATCAAAACCAAAAGCAAACCCTTTGCCATCAAGTTGATTCTGACTCATAGCGACCCTATGGGACAGAGTAGAACTGCCCCTTAGGGTTTCCAAGGAGCAGCTGGTGGATTTGAACTGCTAACATTTTAGATAGCAGCCAATCTCTTAACTACTGTACCACCAGGGATCCATAGTTGGTACAGATCTCCTTAATTTTCTATATTAACTAACTGCTGTGTTTTACTTCTAGCTTGGCATTCCAAACTCCAGGCTGCGTTATTTCCTTATTGCAAAGCTTCAGTCAGAGCCATTACCTTTTCAAGCCCCTGGTCAGGTATTACTGTCATTCATTTATTTATTGCAAACGTATCACAGTTTGCTAATTTATTTCCAAGAACCACTTTGTATATGTGTATGTGTATATGTATATGTGTATTTGTATATGTGTCCTGTAGAGTCCAATGAATAAACAATGCCCTAGGTCCATCTTGAAGGCCTTTTTCCTGTCCTCATGCCACTTTTATTGCTTTAAACAAAACAAAACAGAGACTTTTCTTTCATCATTAGGAAAAAAAAAAAGTAAGTTTAAAGTAAAAAATTACCATTAATGTTGCTCCTCCCCTCTCCCCCAGTAATTGCCCTTCTGACCATTGATGATTTTGCGGCTGCTTTTGGTAAAATTCAATATACTGTCTTTAAAATGCCTTAAGAGCATTTTAACACATTGGTTGCCGTTTTTTATTATGTCAATGCTATTTAGCTTTAACTAGTTAAAATATAGTAATGGTTAGTACAAGCCAGAATATAATGCTCAATTGCTATAGATAGGATCCCTAATTATGCAAACAATTTTACATACTTTGTCAAAAAGTGGTGTAGATAACGGAGAGGTTCAGTAAAACTCTCTATAACCATCACAGTTAAGAACTCAAAAGTCATGTTCTACTAATAGATTAATGGTATCATTTCAATCACCTATAATACAACACCGATTTTTTTTTTTCCCCTTTCCCTTAATGGACAATTCCAAAAAAGTGTATAACAAAGACTTCTTCATTAAAAACTCCTGGAACTGTTTTTGTTTTACAAAATAAGACTTTATACATGATTATGGGTTGTACAGAAACAACTTTTTCCTAAGGGACTCATGAGTAGAAATAACCTTTCGGTGTGAAAAGTGCTTTTCTTTTTTTGATTACTGTTTTTCTTTTAGACCGTGGAAATTTTCCTTTTTAATGAGATGAGTATGGCAAATTTTGATCCAGATACATTTTCTGAAAATGTTAATGCTGCTTTCTAAACTTCTTTTCCAGATATGATGCTGTTATATTCAACATGCTTCCTATTACTTAGTTGAATGTTTTGGTTAACAAATACAGAAAGCAGTAACCCCATGAAATAGATCATTAGTAGCCTGATAACACTATAGCCATATAATGAATAACTTGTACAAAAACAAGCAAACCACAATTTCTATCTTTTTAATGGCAACTGAAATTTTTGCATACTGTTGACTAACCAGAACAAAATCAAATCCATTGTCATTGAGTTGATTCCGACTCATAGCGACCCTATAGGTCAGAGTAGAGTTGTTCCACAGGGTTTCCAAGGAGTGGCTGGTGGGCTCGAACTGCCAGCCTTTTGGTTAGCAGTCAAACGCTTAACCAGTGCACCACCAGAGCTCCTAATGTTGACTGGATATTATTAATTTGTTCAATTTTAATAAAGCTTTTGAAAATTTGTGTATTTTTACTTAATTCCAGGTAATGACAGAGTTTCCCAAAACTGGATCTGAAAATCCACAGAAACATGCAATAGATGCAGAAAAGAACACTGAAGAAAAGAAAATTGAACCAAGTATTTGCCTTGATGGCAACACACAATGCTCTGGAAAAGAGACCATACTTTTTAAGCTTGAGACCACAAAAGAAATAGACAGGAAACATCAACAGAACAGTGATCTCTCTGTTCAAATGCTAGAAGATTTTCTTGAACATGACATTGACATAAATCAGTACTTTTTGCCACCAAAGTTGTTGCAGCGATATGCTCTTATATTAGATATTGTTAAGCCCACTTGCAGAAGATCCACGTGCTTTACAAAAGGGTAGGTTTTAAAGAGACTCTGTTTATGATATATCCAAAGTAACCAGGTCCTTATAGCTTTTTTTTTTTTTTTTCCTCAAAAGAACAAGGAGCATTTTATAAAATGTTTCTGCTAGAATGATTTTTTTCACCCTTAATTTCCTGCTTCGTGTTTCAATAGAATGCACAAGTGAAAATTCTTTCTGGCAGAACATTATGTGCCCAACCCACAAAAATACTCATAAAAGACAATGCCTTTTGTTTGGTGACCTTCATAGGAGCTTAATTACCCATGGTGGAAATACGGTTCTGTAGATGGTGAATTGCTAATTCTTTAACACCTTTTTTTTTATGGCACATCAGACCTGAAAGATTTATATCTTCTCTCATGATCAGTGTATAAGAAGAAATTAAATTTTAATCTAAAGAAATAAAATTGAATCAACTGGAACACATTAATTTCTAAATTTAAATTTTATTCAGATTTTTGAATAATATGTTCCCATGGTTCAAAATTCAAAAGGTACAAAGATTGTACGACTTCCTTCTACTTTTATTCCTCAGTCATGTAGTCTCCCACCCTACAGGCAACCAATGCTATGAGTTTACTGTATAATCTTCCAAAGATATGATATGTGAGGTTGTATTTAAATATACATGTATATTTTTATTCCCCCTTTAAGTAAACAGTAGTATACTTGTGTACATTATTGTGTGCTTTTTTTTTTTACTGCACAGTATAAATCCGATATTATTTCATGTCAGTACATAGAGAACTTTTGTATTCTCATAGTAGAGTTACATTATAACTTTTGTAACTGGTTACTTATTGATGAACATTAGGTAGCTTCCTTTGGGTTATTTTTTGAATTTCATCAGTTTTTTTAAACCTGGAAAGAAAATTAGGCCTTTCCAGAAAATTTTGCAAATGACCCATCTCTGCTTTGTTATTAATGCTACACAACTTTACTTGGTAGATAGTTGTATGATTTGTAAAATCAAGCTTCCTTTCTTACCTACTAACTAGCTGTTTTAGACAAGACCCTGTGCTTCTTGTACAACCATACCAGACTCATACTGATTTGATCATACTCTGCCCTTGTACCTCCAGGGGAAAGGGTATATTGCTTTCCATTATCTTAAAAGACTTCTCTCAGGTATTGTTTATTACCAGGTTCCATAAGTTCTGTTTAGAACGCTCATAAAACAAGACATCAATTTTGTCATAAAAAACAATCTTGACACTCTTTTGTAATTATAAGGATGGTATAAAAGAAACCTTACGTAAAAGTCTATTTAAGTGTGGATAATATATACATACACACACATTTGTATATATGATATATATGAGAAAAAAATTTGAAAAAAATACTTTCCCTAGCATAAGTTTTTTTCTCTGATTTTTATTTTAGATCATTTTATTGGGAAAAAACAATGATAGTATGTGCAACAGCCGGCTTGGCAATGATCTTGGAGAAAGAAATATAATTAACACCTTGCATTTCCACAGTGTTTTATATGCTTTGTACACATTTTTTTATACAGTAGTCTGCTTGTGTGAAAAAGACAGTAACAACGTGCTGCATTACAGTGAGAGACAGACACAGGTTCAGTGGGTTGTGTTTGCCAGAGTATGGTAAATAAGTTTTTAAGTTCCTGAGATGAAATCATGATTCAGGCATTATAAAAAATAGGAGCAATTTATTTTCACCTACATAACATTTGATTTAGTGTGATAGGGATGCCAATATTGGATAGCATTTGAATACAAAGTCCTAACAAGTGCATACTTTCTAGTGGCGAACATTAAAGAAATGACAATACAAAGACATAATGAAATTTACACAACTCAGAAAACTGCCAAGTTTAGTTTCTGAGAAGTTTAAATAGAAAGATCTTACCTAGTCTTTTACCTAGTGGTTTTTAAATTACAAGGCATACGTATATACTATTATTCAGAATATTTCTAAATGACGTAACTATATTGATTGATTATCTCAAGAAATGTTTAAGAAATTTAGCATTAATGAATACATTAGGTGCTATATAATATTTTGTTAATTTTTCAGTTATGGAAGATTTATAGAAGGGACAGGATCTGTGTTACAAACTGCAGAAGATGTACAGGTACTATGTAAGTTTTAAAAGTAAATTAAAATATTTGAAAATAGTATTTCAAATAATTATTTTTAGTAAATTTAAGAATGTTAAAATAATTTTACATGTTCACCTAAGAATAAATATGTATGTGTATATATTCTTTTATATATATATTCATATAGTTGTCTATAGCTGTATATATGTATATGATTCTTTACTACAGAATAAATCTTTTTCTTGTTGCTGGATATGAGTTTATCCACGAGGAATGTTTTAGGTTTTAATTTTCTTGTTTTCTTATTTTTACCTTCTGCATTTCTCTTTATTCCATAAATAGTAAATTAAAATTCAGTCTCAATATTTAATGTTCTCCAAAATTATACATAAAGAATCTTAATATTTTGGTCTTTCTTTGGGAAACATACTATAAAACTACCTTTTAGGGGAAAAACATTTGTGTTATGGCAATGTCCTTTTTTAATACTTTAGTTGTAAATCCTTACTGATGTCATGGTTGATTATGAGCGTGATATATAGCAAGTTTTACATGGTTTTAAAGTGAGATTACATTATCTTCTTTATACTGATTTACAGCTCTTACTATTAACAAAGTTTACCCCTGGTAAAATGCTGTCATAAGCAAATAATGTCTGGATATGAAAAATAATTTATTTAATGTATTTTATCATTTTAAGAAAATGTATTTGGTGACATTTATTATAAACAATAAATGTGGTAATGATCTACTTGTTAGCATCATAGAATTGACTCCATTGGTCTGTCAAGTTTTCTTTATATCTTTGACTATATTTCTTTTATGCTATATTGTCACTGTTGTTTACATTCTTATTTAATTTTTGAGAGAGATCAAAAATGAAAAATACTGAGAAGTATTCTGATCTGTTCTACATCAAGCATTTTTTTCTTTTTCAAAGTTGGCCATTAACGAGCCAATTATGTAGTTTATCACACAGAGACATTTTGTCCTGTGGAGTGCCTTTTGCTACAGTGTGTTATAGCAGACTATATGTCCATCACTTTTAAACTGTCTCACAACAGGTAATCCTTTTTTAAGAAATCTAGTTGCACACAACTTTATCAGTTATCTTGGATGTTTTCTTACAGATTGAGAATATCTACAAATCTATTAGCAATTTGTCAGAAGAAGAAAAGATAACAAAATTGTTAACGCTTAAACTGCGATATTTCACTCCTAAAGAAATAGCAAATCTTCTTGGATTTCCTCCACAATTCGGTATGTAGGATACACGCAAACTGTAGTTTTCATTTATCAAAGGTCTCAGAATTTATTAGGGACTCACATGTGTATTTTATGAACAAACCCTTGACCAGCTAGATGACTACAAGAAACCATCTGCCTTTCCTGATTGTGCCATCTTTTGACATTTTCCTTTCCTCCTCCTTCCCCTTGTAACCCGCTTCAATTAATTCCCTTCAGACTCAATTCTTCTACCTCTTTATTCCAGCAATGATCCCGAGTGGGGCGCAGTGGCAGAAGGGACAAATCAGCAATTCTTCACCTCTCTCCACAGTTTGTTCGTAATAGCATTCCCTTCTCCAGCTTATTTCTTTCTTCCAGAGGTCCTGTCCTAGTAGCTCCACATGAGATCTTGGGAGACAATGCCTAGGATTGTCTTTTTATGGAGGTTTTTTTTGTTTTTTTTTTGGTATAAGGTATATTTGTATGTACTCTCCTCAAAGATACAGTCTTATCAAATGTGCACCTTTTTTCTTTCCTACAAGATTTAAGTGGAGAGGAGAGAAGGTGGAGAAGGGTCTAGGAAGGAGCTTTCCTAATAGGAGGAAAGGGTGACCTCAGGAGCACAGATCCCGAACTGAAAAAAAGATTAGAGGATCTGAAGCAGGGAATCTCAAGAATAAAAATGAAGTTGTAGAGTGAGCAACACGAAGTCTTAAGTCCATGTGCAGTCAGGGAAATCCAAAGATTATTGCTGTTAAGAAATTGGACACACTGCCTTTGCCTTTTTAGAGCAGCCCCAGCCCACACTGTGTGATTCCACTTCAGTGGGGTCGGTGCTCTCGGCTTGTAGGGAGCCCTCAGTTTCTTAGGGCTGGGTGTGGGTATGCTCCCAGTACCTGGGTCAGGGAAAGGGGGAAGGATAAACCTTCCGAGCATGTTTCCAGGGCAGCAGAGGAAGGAAGTATGTATTTGATAACTCTGAGAGTTTGAATGAATTTCCCCCCACAGAAAAGCCAAAGTTTGCTAAATCCAGTGCTGCTGTAATATCAATATAGTGCTGTTCTTGAAGTACTTAATGGGTTTAATAGATTATGTTTCAAATTATCCATAATGGATTTACAGATGAGATTTTAGAATATAATCCTTTTGTACACTGGGGACAAGCTGCCCGTATAATTTGACTGCTCTCTTGGTAGTTGATTTTCCTACTGTAGTCAGAGCAACCAGGTTTGTTTTGTACTCCACGCCTTTTTCCTGATGATCTCATTCAGTCCCAAGTATCCTGGGGAGTGTTATTAAGAAAAACACAGACTTCCCTTGTCTGTCCCGAAGTGAGTGAGAACATCACAAAACAAAGAGCTGAGATTTGAGCTCAAGAATTGTATTCCCAGTCTGTTTTCCTTTTTAAAAAAATTTTTTTAGGGACTGAGCCGTCAGAGGTACTTTACATAGTACTAAAGTGAAAAAAGAGATTGACTCCCTCATAAAAACTTATTGCTTGTTTTTTCAAGGAGTGGTAGGCACTTTGATAACACTGTGGACCCCAGAGCCAGGATATCTGAGTTTGAATCCTCACTCCACTTTAGCTTCTCTGCCTCGATTTACTTATCTGTAAAATGGGGATAATTTTAGGACCTACTTCATAGAGTTGTTCTGACAGTTAAGTAAGTTAGTATATCTTAAATGCTTAGACAATGCTTGACACATAGTAAAAAATTTAAGTGTTAGCTTTTTCATTTTATATGATAAACATTTATTTGCTTTTATAGCCTTATTACTATAAATATTTTTTCTCATAATTTTTGAATTTTAGGTAAGATAATTTTTAGTTATCTGAAGATATCTATGTATAGTAAATAAAAGTAAGCCTTTTAATAGCTTAAATTTCTTTTGAAACATGATATATTTGTATAGTCAAGCTTGCCTCAAGATGACCCCTTTGACAGAACTGTCTTTCATGTGTGTTTCTGACATTATTGACTCTGGATCCAAAACAGGCATTGTTTAAGTTGTTTGTCCACTGGCAATGATGGATTTGCATTGATCCCTTCCACAGTTTGTCCTGGTTCTTTTAGTAACTGGTGGCATGCTTGTATGAAATAGCAGGCTTTGGAATAGAGGGACACTAATCTGCACTTACTTGATACAAGCTACTATCTTGACCTTGTTAATTCTGTGTTTCTTTGTATTTATTGTTATTTTTAATGCATCTCAGTTTTAAAAAATCACCTTTTAACTTAAATTATGTAATTTTTCATACTCATTAACATATAATTTTTATAAATCTGACTTTGTTTTTAAGTCTTTTCTTCACTTCTAATGTAATCTTAATATTGCAGAAGATCATCCCTGGACTATACTAAATGCCTGTTTATAGATATATTTGTACCTTTGTCTACTTTGAACTAAATTTTTTAGATAACATTGAGCAATGTGCATGCCTAAGATGTGTTTTCTTTAGAATAGCAATAGATGATCATATTTATTGCAAATACAGCTTTATTATAGTAATCACTGTTATTTTATTGCAGTACAGCTAAATGTTAAGTGTCGATGAAGCAACTTTACCATAACCAGCTCTATCTTCTGGTTCATACAAGTGTATGAAACCTTGCTATTCTTAATTCTTTTAAGTTATTTCCTTCATTTTATTATTTTTTTAAAATTTAATTTGCTATGCCAGAGGATACTGAATGTGAATTCCTGACATTGTAACTGACATTGTAATATACAGCCTTATGCAGGATCATTTTTTATGCTGATATTTACAAGGCTTTGTTCCAGCAAATGTAGTATTTGCGGGCAATTTTGTTTTGAGAAAAAATATAGTAAATAGGAGCCCAATATGAGAAAGTCAACTAGTGGAAGCAGAGCATAAAAAACTACTGTGAGAGACTTGTATCCAAATATATATAAAGAACCCTCCCAATTCAACAATAAAAAGACAAATGATCCAGTTAAAAAATGAGCAAATGATTTGAATAGACATTTCTCCAAAGGAGATATACAGATGGCCAGTAAGTATATGAATAGATGCTCACATCAGCAGTCATTAGGAAAATGCAAATCAAAACCCGAACTGAGATCCCACTTCACACCTGTTAGGATGGCTATTATCAAGAAATTGGAAAATAACAAGTGTTGGTGAAGATGTGGAGAAATTAGAACCCTCATGCACTTCTGATAGGAATGTAAAATGGCACAGCTGGTTTGGAAAACAGTCTGGCAGCTCCTCAAAGGTTCAACACAGAATTACTGTATGACCCAGCAATTCCACTCCTAGGTATATACCCAAGAGAATTGAAAACACATGTCCATACTGAATCTTATACACAAATGTTTATAATAGCCTTGTTCATAATAGCCAAAATGTGGAAACAACCCAAATGCCCATGAACGGATGAATGGAAAAACTAAATGTGGTGCAATTTAATGCAGTGGAGTATTATTTAGACATAAAAAAGAATGAGGTATTGGTACATGCTACAATGTGAATGAACCTCAAAACATTACGCTAAGTGAAAGACATCAGACATAAAAGCCTACATATTTATTGTATAATTCCATTTATGTGAAATATCCAGAAGAAGCAAATCCATAGAAACAGAAAGTAGATCAGTGATTGCCAGGAATAGCTGAAAAGAAGGGTAGGGGACAAGGGGAAATAGGGAATGATGCTAACGGGTCAGGATTTCTTTTCAGAGTGATAAAAATGATCTGGAATTGTTGTTTGTGCCGTCGAGTCGATTCTGACTCATAGAGACCCTACAGGGCAGAGTGGAACTGTTCTAGGGTTTCCAGGGAGCATCTGGTGAATTCGAACTGCTAACCTTTTAATTAGCAGCCTGAGCTTTTAACCACTTTGCTACAGTGTAATGGTTGAACATACACTGTGGAGTGCCCGAAGACATACAACCTGAATGCTTCTTAGAAGGGTGGATGACGAGACTTTGTCTTGCTTATTTTGGGCACATCATCAGGAAAGATCAATCGCTAGAAAAGGACTTCATGGTTGGTAAAAGTAGAGGGTCAGCAAAAATGAGGAAAACCTTCAGTGAGATGGATTGACATAATAGCCTTAACAGTGGCCTCAGACATATCAAAGATCATGGAGACGGTGAAGGACCAGGCAGTGTTTCATTCTGTTGTACCTAAGGTCACTATCAGTCGGAGCAGACTGCACAGCAACCAACCACAACAACAATGGTTGCAAAACTTTGTGACTATCCTAAAAAACTCTGAATTGTACACTTTAAAAAGGTAAATTTTATGGTATGTGAATTATATCTAAAAATACTGCTGTTATAAATTAAAAAAAAGAAATAATTGTGAAATAATGGTAACCATTGCTTTTCTTAAACTGCACTAATATGTGGATAACTATGAGTTCTGTGGATATTATTTGTATATATGCATGTGCTGAGCATACTATGATATTATGTAATATTAAATGATAACATCACATTGTGTAGACAATGTAAAGTTATATAGTATTTTTGACTCCAAATTCTCATTAGTTAATTGAACTTTCATGGAAAGCTGAAGAACTTATTTGTGTAAATGCCCACTTGTGATCTAACTAAAGGATGCATCCTTTTATTTTTGGAAATTTAATATTACAAATGATTGTAATATAAATTATCATCTCTCTTTTCTAGGATTTCCTGAGATGGTAACAGTGAAGCAACGTTATTGCCTACTTGGAAATAGTCTCAATGTGCATATAGTAGCTAAACTAATTAAAATCCTGTATCAATAATTTTGAAATAATTCTGAAAGATAGTCACGGTGTTCCCTCATGTCCAGATAATAATCCTAAAATTCTTTTTTGAATTAGTTTTAACTAAATTCAACTACATTATTTCACTCTTTCTTTAATAAAGAGTTTGGAATTTTTCACAAAAATGCTATTAATTTGTTTCCTTAAATTTGTATTACTGTACTTTGTCAAATGAAAATTTTTGTTGTACTTAGTGGATAATATATTTTCATATGAAATTGTTGAATATATACGTAAAATATTCTCTTTATAACATGGCGTAAACAAATTTGGAACGTTTGAATTTTAATGTCTAGATAAATATTTTACAAAATGTCAACAGGCATATTATAATGAACCTGAGAAATTTTTTTGAATGCTAATTAAAGAAGTTGTTTTTTAAATCTGTCATTTTACATTTTTATTAAACGATTACTTCTAAGATGGTTCTAATTCCATATTGTTTTAAATATTGACTGTTTTACTTAATTCCAAACCTTTTTACTTTATTTTTATCTAAACAAATGCATTTAATATTTTAAACCAAGTTATCATTCAGCTTACGCAACAGTCTAAAAAATAATGTTAGAAAACAAAAAACAAAAAAACCTAAATTCTTGGTTACGTCTCCATCAGGAGGTATCTGAAAATTTAAGTGGCTATTATCTGATTATCTTTTCTTCTGCCTCCATCTGAAAGGCAAAACTTTTGTTCCCAGTCCATATGTACACACTTCCCTTAGTTTGCTATGATCAGAGTTTGCTTTTGCTTTCTTTCTGTGCTTATTGTTGTTAGTTGGATTTAGTCTTATCACATGCTGAGGAACATAGCATGGGACTAAGATTTTAGGGAGGAAATGCTGTCCTTGAACCCCATTCCACATGGCTCTATTCTATGAATTTTATAACTCTGTGCCTCTCAGTAGACTTCTTGGAATTAGGCTTTCTAATCAGACTAAATTTTGTACCATGCATCCTTGTAGTTTTAATTTCAGTAGTAAAAGCAAGTGACAGAGTAGAAAAATGAGAATAAACAAGACTAGAAATTATATCACAAAATTTTAATTCATATTTTTATTCTTAAAAAATCATTCTTCCTACCACTTTTTTAAGCACTCATAGATAAATATGGACATTGGGAAGCTCTAGGCCAATACAGATACATCAACTACCACAGTCTACATTTTGTTTGTCTTTAAAGACGAACGTTATTACAAGTGTCATAAATTTTAGTACACAACAATCAGATTACTTTGGCACGCTCATGTAGGTTCTCTTCACTGCTGAATGGTTATAAATCAAAAGGTTTAGAGTTTTATTATAATAATCTGTGATTATAGTTATACTGTATTATAGTGTCCTATGCCCCATGAGCAGTGTTATATAAGTGTTGAGTTACAGTGCACCAACTATAAACACATGAAAGCTCTATAGAAACATTCTCTTACAAACTAGAAGACAATATAGCTTCATGAAATTTTAAATTGTTATATATTTGAAAATATGTAAGGGCACATGGTGATTTTTTACCTTAATTCATAATAGAAAATATATAGTAGCAAGCATAAAACTCTCACCTTAATGAAGAAATATTTACCAGAGTGCCATTTAATTAGAATATATATACATGCATAATTAATTTGTAAAATGCAATTTTATTTGAATGTCTACTTTGTTATTGGTAATGAATATGCATAAAATCTGCACTGGGAAGTCTGTTTTCTGATATTTGTACTTACTGTCAGTGTATTCAGAATTTTGGAAAATACAGCCTCCTTTTTAAAGGGAACAATATGTATTTAAATCCTTGCCATTTCTAATAGTAAACTGATTTTCTCTTCTCCCTTTTGCACCATCTTGGCTCTTTTATATGGGTTATCAGATAATTTTAAGGTATTTATTGTTCTGCCTCATGTTTTTAGTATGCTTTCAGGACCCAAAAAATGAACAAAGAAATGATCAAATGAATTAACACACACACATTGAGTTATACTGGAAAATGATTTTGAAAAGGAGATGGGTAGTCATTTTAGGAGAAAGAGTCAGAGCCTGATAATCCTTAGTGGCAGACAATGAGGCCCAATGACAGCAGAGAGGAAGAAAGTCAACTTGTTACTGCAGGAGTCAGCTGCCCCTTTTCAGAAGATCCTGAATATTCTGGCTATTAAGTCAGACCTGCACAGTGGTCACTGCCCTGTGCCTTGAAAAAGTACTTCTCTCTTGACTACCAGCCGATTGGTTTCTGTCACAAGATAGATTCTTGTAAAGAGGCAAAAACAGTAGCTGAAATTGTGAAAGATGAGGGACTATCCAGCACTTTAAAAAAAAAAAAAATTGTGAACTGTTCTTGACATGATCCAACTTTTTAAAGAGGTAAGCTTATTTAGTAGAGGAACCTTTAAGTTGCCCTAATAGAAGGGGTATCACCCCCAAGTAGGATGTAAGGAAGATGGATGATGTTAGAACAAGAGCAAACAATTCAGCACATCAGTAGTGGGTAGAATTTTTTAGGATTTCATAATCTGTCTTTTACTCCAATCCCAACTTCATTCACATCAGAAGTTGTCAAGTTGAAGACTTCTGAAGATAGAGAAATGAAGCTAAGCTTTAATTCTACCTCTAGCAGTACAGAATAAAGCAACTACTATTTCATTCAACATCAAGCACGTAGTAAAGGATGCATCCTGCAGGTCAATTTTTATATCTGCATCCAAACTAAAATAACTCTGGCTGCTCTTTTATTTTGATTACTTTACAATTTAGGACCAAATAAACCAAGGTAACACAATAAGGATCTAGTTTTAAGCCTATATAGACAAAGTGGTTAAAGTGTGTTTTCCTGGTTTGGTTATGTTGTAACAAAATGTAAATTTTCATAATTTGGTCTTCAGCTTAGAACTATTAGGCCACCAGCTATAACAGTCACTGCCTAATAGCTTTAGAGTTTGATATTGACTAAGGGTATCTTAGTTATCTCGTGCTGCTATTTAACAGAAATACCACAAGTGAATGGCTTTAACAAATAAGTTTATTCTCTCACAGTCTAGGAAGGTAGAAGTCCAAATTCAGGGCACCACCTCCAGGAAAAGGCTTTCTCTGTTTGTTGGCTCTGGGGGAGGGTCCTTGTCATCAATCTTCCCTTGGTCTAGGAGCTTCTTAGTTCAGGGACCCCGAGTCCAAAGGACACACACCCCTCCTGGGTCTTCATTCTTGGTGGCATGAAGTCCCCCTCCTCTCTGCTTAATTCTCTCTTTTATATCTCAAAAGAGATTGACCCATTCTCCTAATCCTGTAGATGGAGTCCTGCCTCACTGACATAACTGCTTTAATTCTGCCTCATTAACACCATAGAAGTTAGGATTTACACCACCTGGGATAATCACATCAGATCACAAAATGGTGGACAACCACACAATACTGGAAATCATGCCCTAGCCAAGTTGGTATACATTTTTAGGGGACACGATTCAGTCCACAACATTTCACCCTTTGGTCCCCCAAAATCCATGTCTTTGCCACATGTAACACTTTCACCCCATCATATCATCCCAAAAGTCTTAAATCAGCTCCAAGTACAAATTCCATCCTGGGGCAAAATTCCTCTTCATTTGTGATATCGAGAATACAAATCTGCTTCCAAATACAATGGTGGAGCAGGCACAAGGTAGACATTTCCATTACAGGTGGGAGAAATTGGAGGGAAAGTAGGAATAACAGGCACCAAGCAAGTCAGCAGAACACATTACATTATCTCTCAAGGCTTGAAAATAATCCTTTGTTCTCTAGACCATTTAGGGAATGGCCCTGCCTTCCAAACTCTGGGTGTTGGCCACACTCTCTGGATTCTGTGTGGAGGCCGCTAGGTCCTGGGCTTCAACTCCACCTTCCAGGCCTGCTGGAACAGTAATATGGCTCCCTTGCATTTGGGCAGCCCCATTCTCCTAATCCGTTTGAATTGCAACCTTACCCCCTTGGCCCTGGCAGGCCCCACACTTCTGCCCCTTGGGCATGGCAGCCCCACCCCCTCAGCTTTGGGCAGTGGATCTGGCCCCATCCTGCTGGCACTTGTGAAAGGCAGCCCCACACTCCAGAACCAAGTTGGTGAAGATCTGACTGTTTGAAACCTAGGAGACTGTGGCCCCACCCCTTGGAACCCCAGAGGCCATGGCTCCATCCTTTGAGACCCCAGAGGTTGTGGCCCTACCCTTTGAGACTGAGGCAGCTCTGCTTCCTGTGTTCCTTGTCTCTTCAGCTTCTGCTTTCTGGTTCCTTGTTCTCTCAGCCCCTCGGGCCTCTTGGGCCAGACGGGCATTTGTCCTGCTCGGGTGAGTGTTCCAAAGCTCGTTAGCTCTACTGATAATGTGCCTGGAGCCACCCCACTCTGCCAGTAAACCTCGGCTGGAGGGCACTCAGCTCTCTTGTTCCTTGGGTCGGCAAGCCTAGCTTCATCAATATCTGCCAGGAGGCACCCCACTCATCAGGACGCCTGCACGAAGACACTCAGCTCTCTTGCTCTGTGGGTCAGCTCCCATGCCATGTCGCACCAGTCTCCTGGTTCTATTTTTGCCATTTCTCTGCTATTGCTTCTCCCTGTCTGCACCATCTCCGTTATTAAAAAGCTCTCCTCACCTCCTTCTGAGTCCTCACCAGAATTGTCTTTGATGTCCGTAATTCCACCAACAGTCTCTTTAAGGCAATCCAAGCTTTTATCATTAGGCACCTTAAAACTTTTTCAGCCTCTATCCATTCACAGTTTCAAAAGCACTTTTACATTTTAGTTGTCTGTTAGAGCAGCACCCCACTCCTGGTACCAAATTCATAACATAACTGCCTCTAATCCTGTCTCATTAACATCATAGAGGCTAGGATTTACAGCACATAGGATAATCACATTAGATTACAAAATGGTGAACAACCACACAATACTGGGAATCATGGCCTAGCCAAGCTGATACACATTTTTGGGGAACACAATTCAATCCATGACAAAGGGTCATATGGTCTCGGCAGTTTTTTATAGCCTATGGTTGAACTCAGATTATATAATTTTTTAAGACAGGGCTTTTAACTTTCCTATACTAGTTAATCTCTTCCTTGCAACTTCTAAACAACCAAGTGTGCTGCATATGACTGCTATATCAGCTTCTCAATAAGTATCTTTCCCACTCCATCTCCAATCCAGCCTCTTTTTCTTCATTCATCACACTCATCAGGATGTCTCATTATGACTATAAATGTCTCATATGGAGTTTCCCCTTGCATATTTTCTCAAGAGGCAATAAGAACCCTGCACATGTTCTTCAACTTCAGTTTACACCAGTCAGCCTCTCTGTACCATTTTCCCTCTCCTGTCATTCCTTCTCTTTGCTACTGAAATGTTACAGCTTCAGTTTTTTTAAAAATCATTTTACCTATCCTGTCCCTGCTTCTCTTGTTAGGACTTCTAGGAATGTTTTGCTCTATGATATTCATGCTCTTCAAAATCTTCTACAACAGTGACTCAAGATACATCACCATTATTGTCTTAATTTGTGAGCTTATTGAGCTTATTCCTTTTAAAATTTATCTGTTCAAGAAATATGAGCATGTGCAAAGAATTTTTTTTGGCTGCTTACTCCCCAAATCCTCAGATACACTCGTTTTATATTTACCATATGTTCTGAGTCTTTTATGGAACCACATCCAACATTTACAACTCCTTCAAGTACCCCAGACTTAATTTCTAAAGATTCTAAAATCTTATTTTTGTCTACAAATATTAGGCTAGAAAATTTCATAAAAACTAGAAGATACCAAGTTAGAGCCATCTTTATAGTCCTAGGATGTTCTTATTTCTCTGCCTCTACGGAATATGGCTTCATTAATTGTTTACTTCAAGTATTCTGTATTTTATTTTGTTTGCATCTTTATGTCTCCATATCAGGGCAGACTGAAATTGCAAGAGCATAAATAAGGAACATGTTTATTTAGCCAAGTTGACTCTATAATTAGATGAGATCACTAAGAGAGTCTAAAGAAAGAGAAGAGCAGATGCCTGGAGCTGAACTCTTAATTTGTTCCTGAGGTTCAATCCTCAGGTCTGTAAACCTTGCTCTCCAAGCCATTTTCACCACCACCCCCGCCCCCCACCCCCACAAGATCTCACCGTTTCCTACAACTTCCACTCTTTTGCAGCCGACTCCTAGATTACTCCAGATTTGATTTTTACCTAAGCCCTACTTTAAAATCTTCATACTGAGACATTTTTACTTGGATAGCTTGCTGTCACTTCAAATTTAACATATTCAAAAACAAATTAATCATCCTACATTCTAAAATCACTTCCGCTTATGACTTCAATATTTCTCTTTAAGGTACAGCTATTCTCCCAGTCACCCAAGTTCAAACTCCATCACCCAAGACCATCCTCACCCTCTTTCTACTGTGGATTCGGTTTACCTGTTTCTGTAATAAAGCAGACCCTCAAGGAAGAGCTTCCCTGAGCTTTTTTTAGGAAAACTAATAAAAAATCACTTGGAAATTTCAAAACATACATATTCAAAAGAAGATATGTCTGCTTGATTAAATATGTGGACACTTCACAGATTTCAACTTCTGAATGTAATCTAGCATAAATGACATTTTTACTAACATAGTTGTTATTTTACTCACTTTACTAGTTCATTAAACAAATACAGTTAAATTTCACACATAAAAAATGACTAAAAACACACAAATGGAATGTGAGACTCCTTGTATAGTAGATATGAGTTGAATTTGCTATTTGACAGTTGATCCTATGAATGAATAAGATGTATAGCTGCTATAATTTTAATTGGTTATAAATGAAAAATATTCTCTAAAATATTCATGTTTTAGAGAATGTAAACTTCCACAAGCGCAGAGATTTTTAACTTTTTTTTCCCCCCTTCACAACTACATTCTCAGTATCTAAAACAGAATGTGGCAGATAGTAAGCACCCAATAAATATTTGCTGAATGAATGAGTGAATATAGTGACCAAACTGGGATTAATATAGAAGCTACATAGAGGCTGTCACACCATAGTTTGAAGAATGTCCTTAAGTCACTCTCTTGATAACTTTATGCATTACTGCCACTTCTTCCATACTCAGAGTATTGCTAATTTTTTTTAAGTCTGGCACACATGATTTTAAAAATAATTTTTCTAGCACAGGGTGTGAACTTTTGGCTTTTGGGGAAATTGTGCAGATAGAAATAAAAAATAGTCTATTCTGACTTTTGATCTGTATAAGAAGGCACAGACTCCTTTTGTCCTGCCCTGATAAGTACAATTATAAGCAAGAGGCTCCAGGAGGAGAACTCTGAAAGGTGGAAAGAGGAAGACGTACTGGTTAGGGACCCCAAGACTGGAGAAACAACATAGTTGCAAGACATCTTACCACCTCCCACCCAAGAGAAGAAGGTGACCTAGGTCTAGCATTTCCTGACCCCTACCCAAGCAACAGAAGGAGGCCGAGGAAGGCTCATTTCTACCCCAAATGAAACTGGAGTCCCACTGACAACATGAAGTGAGTCTGGCACCACCAGCAAGGGAGATCAGTTGGGAGCCCTGCTGACAAGTGTCCAGAGAAAGTGCTCTACTTGCCTATTAAGCCTGACACAGTTCTCACATGAGAGACACCAGGCATTCAGTGGAACAAGCAAGGGGATGCCACCACAGCATCTGGTCCTGGAAGCCTCTTTATCTTCTTGGGACTGAGACGTCCCTCTCCGACCCAGAGACACTGGACAGCTAGGGGCACTAGCAATGTGGTTCCTTCCACAAAAGCATCCGACCCAGGAAGCCTTTTCATCACCATGGACCAGAGACTCCCCTCACCCCTCACAGAGACATCAGGTTGTTTAGCCTGGAGAAACACCTTCTTTCACCTCAGAACCAGCAGGGATTATTGCAAGCCCCAAATGGCACCAGATAAACCAAGCCAACCAAAATAACAGTTCAAAGCCTCTGAAAATTAAACCGATATTGGAACCACAGCCCACAAAAGTAAGTCAGGATCTGTGTGCTAGACATAAGCACAGTGACTGCCTGCTAAAATAGAAAATTAAGATAGGACCAAAACTCTCCTAATATAGTTGACAAAATGTCCAAAATTACCCATCATACCAAGAGCCAGGTAAACCACAACTTGAATGAGAAAGAACAATCAACTGATGCCAATGTTGCAATGAATAAGATGTTGGAATTATCTGACAAGAATTTTAAAGCGGTCATCACAAAAATACTTCATCAAGTAATTACAAATTATCTTGAAACAAAAAATAACAAAGCTCAGCAAAGAAATAGAAGTTTAAAAAAAGGAACCATTATGGTATGTGAATTATATCTGAATTTAAAAAAAAAGAAAAGAAACAAATGGCAAAGATATAACTGAAAAAGAAAATAACCAAAATAAAAACTCATTGGATGGGCTCATTAGTATAGTGGAAATGACAGAAGATAGAATCAATGAACTTCAGTACAGAGCAATAGAATTTATCCAATCTGAATGAGAGAGAAAATAGACTGAAAAGAAAATGAATCGAGCCTCAGGGACCTGTTGGACAATATCAAAAATTCAACATTTATATCATTAGAGTCCCAGAAGTAGAGAAGAAGAAAGAATAAGACTGAAAGAATATTCAAAGTAAAAATGACTGAAAACTTACCAAGTATGACAAAAGACATAAATGTGCAGATTCAAGAAACTGAGAAAATCCTGAACAGGATAAATTCAAGGAAATTCATGCCAAAATACATCATGGTTAAACTTCTGGAACACACACACACACACGTGTATATATATATATATATATATATATGTATAAAATCATTGAAAGCAAGCAAACAAAAATGACATATTACTATAGGAGAACAACAATTTGAATGACAGCCATTGTCTCATCAGAAACCATGGGAGCCAGAGGAAATGGCACAGCATTTTTCAAGTCTTGAAAAAACAGAACTGTCAACTGTGAATTCTATAGCCAGCAAAACTATCCTTTAGGAATGAATGGAGAATAAAGACATTCTCAGATTAAGCAAAACTAAAAAGTACTTATTGCTAGTAAACCTACCCTTAAAGAATGGCAAATGGAAGTTCTTCAAACAAATGAAATGATCAAAGAAGGAATCATGGTGCATCAGGAAGGAAGAACGAACTATGGAAAGAGCAGAAATATGGGTACATACAATAAATGATGCTTCTTCTGAATTTTATCAATCTTGTTTGATGTTTGATCATTGAAACAAAAATTATAACATCATCTGATTCTCAGGACAATAATATTTTAAAGTGGGGAAGGTAAAGAGACCTAATGAAAGTGAGGTTTCCACATTTCACTCAAAGTAGTAAATGTTGATACAAATAGACTGTAATATATCACATATGTATATTGTAATACACAGAGAAACCACTATAAAAACTAGGCAAACAGATAGGTAGATTAGTGGTTAGCAGATGGAAGGGGAAATAGGGAGGTACAGAACTTTTTGGGATGATTAAATTTTTCTGGAATTAGATAGTGATAATAGCTGTAAAACTCAGTGAATACACTAAAAACCATTGACTTGTACACTGTAAAAGGACGAGTTTTATGGTATGTGAATTGTGATGTGTAATCCCTAGGTGGTACAAATGGTGTAATGCACTGGGCTGCTAACTGAAAGGTTGGAGGTTCAAGTCCACCCAAAGGTGCCTTGGAAGAAAGACCTGGCAATCTACTTCTGGAAAATCAGCCGTTGAAAACCGTATGGAGCACATTTCTACTCTGACACACATGAGTTCAGCATGAGTCGGAATTACAATTGTAATTGTAAGAATTGTTATACAGCTCTTTAGAATTATGGTTAGGGAACCAGGTAGTAACACGGAATTTGGCTTATGGGAAATAAAACAAGTAGGAAAAGAAGAGACACAGTTTTATACTATGATTATAACTATGTAAATGTATTCATCTGACAATAGATTAGAATAAGAATAATAAAAGATGTTCTGTTAGAGTAATTGAATTATACTTTTTTTGTTTATATTTTTCAAACTGATTGTAAGATAGTGATGCTTTTATAAATTAAAAAATTCTTTCTTTCAAAACAAATAGTCTATTCCAAGTCTACCCTCTACCATAAAATCTAAAAAAACCTGTAAACGATGAAAATGCTACCTCATTTGCATTCTGATGGCCTCTTCCCGGGTCTCCTTCCCAGACATTGTTCCTTGAAGACAGAGACTGTATCTTACCCAACTCTGTATCCTCAGCATTTCCCTCAGATGCTGACAAATAGTGAGCACCTAATAAATAATAAAGAAGCCCTGTGGCACAGTGGTTAAGTGCTCGGGTGCTAACCAAAATGTTGGTAGTTCGAGCCCAGCAGCTGCTCTGCGGGAGAAAGATGTGGCAATCTGCTTCCATAAAGATTTACAGCCTTGGAAAACCTATGGGGCAGTTCTACTTTGTCCTATGCAGTTGCTATGAGTCGGAATCGACTTGACAGCAATGGATTTTTTGGTTTAATAAATAATTGTAAAGTTAACCTGACTTGAATATGAGTATGCTGTATATTGTAGCAGAATCTTTATAGTCTTTCATGTCTTGGGGAATTGTTTCAATAATCTACCAGTCAACCCAAACAAGAGAAGCAAATTAGATGCTATAGGAAAATTGTTTAATGCCAGAATTGTGTATAACTCCTAGGGGATTGTTTGTATCTCTTCTAAACATAGTCTAGGAATTGTTGACAAAGCTTGATTTAGCCGTACTTCCGTAATAAATATAGTCCAAGCCACTCTAAAGAAAACACACGAAGGGACAAAGGCTTTGGTTTTTACAGATCTTAGAATAATGGTTCTGAAAAATCTGAGAGGTGAGGTCATCTCATCCTTCTTCCTGCCCTTGATGACAACACTTTAAATCTTCCCACACATCTGCGTGGCACTTCAATTAATGAATCCTCTGGGAATGATGGCCCTTTGTAAGAAGTCAGTCTTGTTAAAACACCCCCTCCCATCATAAATCACATCACTGAAGCAAAGCCTCCTAATTTCCCCTCACAAGATAAAGTTACCTCTGCATGCTGCTTCTGTTTGTATCACACCGATTAGAAGTATGAGGCAGAATTCTGAGGAGTGCCAAGTATCTCCAAACATTTCTTTCTTTCCCCTCCCTCAGTAGTGACACCCTTACCTCGTTTGCTCTCTTCCTCTCATCAAATATTTGTGACAAAAATGCATTCCTTTCCCTTTTCAAGATTCTCAGTATAAATCTTTTGCATTTATTTACCATGTAAATTTCTGTAGTCATTCACATTGACATGTTAGTACAATCAGACATTTTCCTTTGATTACAGAATGAATGGTGTCTAAATCTTTCACTCCATTGCTTTTTAGGGAATTTTAGGAGTTACCAAGTAGACAACTTATTTTGTCCTTTTTAGGTTGACTGGAAAAGGGATATCAGAAGGGTTTGTTTATGGCCCTCACCAAAGATAACCTCCACTTCACTGCTTCACACCTTCAAGGAAATCAAGCTTGGATTAGTCCAGTAGAAATGCTGAGGTCCCAGTTCCAGGAGCTGTTGAAGCTGTCTTGTTTCCTCGCTGGCTTTTGGAACCCTTTATCTTAGCAGTACAGATATTCTCTGCTGTGTTCCATATCCTTTATCAAATCCCTGACACAAGATGCCCCAGTACATACAATTTCTGATGCAAGTGACATTAACTTGAGTGTGTGTGTGCAAGTATTGTGTACATATACCATTAGCACCTCTGGACTCCTTATCTGAAGTCCTATTCTCCTGTTGCATTCTCCCTGTGGATATGAATTTTCGGATTATATTCTCTTTGTTTATGTAGGGATTATTAAACTCTTTCTTTTAAATATCTGGAAGAAGTGGAAAAGATCTCCAAACTCTCAGTAATGTGTAGCAATTTACCTTCTCAGGAAAATTTCTGTCAAAACTGAATTATTCAAATGATAATGATTAACTCATAATTCTTCTTTATTCCACTTAACAATAGTGGTAATCATTTTAAATAATGAACATAGATTATGTTCCTTGAGTCAAGACTACACTGCACTCAAAAAGATGAGTTCTCATCATAGTTGTGGACTTGATGATTTCTTAACTGGTAATGCATTACCCATGAAATGAGCAAATGAATAGTTTTAAACTTACATCAATTTCAATAATTATGTAATCCTTCATGGAAAATGAATAGACAATTGGAGCAATATGGTATTGCTAAGAATTTTGGTAGAAAATCATAAAACTGGTGTGCATAAGTGTACCTTTAAGCAATGCTGTGTCTCTGAAGAAGAGAATGAGTTACATGCTCTAAAGGTTAAAAGAGATAATTCTGTTCATGAATGTTTGCATTAATGACTAAAAACAGATTAATTTTACAGTGTTCTCTTTTAAACTGATATGGAAATGAAAAGGGGCTAAAGAAAGCACCAAAGCCAGATTGAAGCTATAAAATGTAGTGGGAATTAGAATAAGTGTTTTGAAAATCTTGCCAAGTGTTATGAGAATCTTGCCAATTCTTTCTCCAATTATTTATCCATTTTAATCCTCTCTCCTCATTTTCATGACTCCCATACTGATACAGTCCTCTAGATAAATTCGGTTGGCTTTCCAGAAATATCACATCAAATATTATTTCACTCAAGATATAAGAGCACCTTCTTATTAAATTAAATGGACTAAATCAAAAGTCTTCAACCTGCCATTTAAGGCCCTTCATTAATGTCCTGTCTTTACCCAACCACTTTTCTCCAAAATGACCCTGCTGGAATAGCAGAACCGTTGTAGTCTACCCATACTGGGCTTAGGAGTCCTTTTTTTGGTTTGGTACATGCTGTTTTCTTAACATTGGGATATATTCTGTCCCATTTTGTCACACTCATCTTTATAATATTACTTTAATACAGCTCTCTAGATTTGTATATGTGACTTTATTGCAAACCAGAGAAGGCCATGATTTTACTTCTTTTGAATCTCCCTCATTGTTGTCTGTGATAAAAACTTATTAAATTACAAAACAGTGGAATTTGGGAAAAAAACTAGCAGGAATGAAAAATGAGCTTTGATATATCAAATAGCAACTATAGGGATTGTATTAATGTAGCATTGATGTCCTCTCCAAGAATTTGGAGAAAAAGATGGAAAACAAGTAGCTAAATAAAGTCTACCCCATTAGCAGTAAAACCAACCACAAACTTTCCTCATCCAGTAGAAAACTGGAAGATTTTTCTGG